TCTTCTTATTTATTGTTATTGTCATCCTGTAAAGCACTTTGAGAAGCCACCTTTAAAGGCGCTATATAAAATAACGTTTTTTATTATTATTATTATATACTTTTCTGCGAATACTCTTATCTGAGTAAACAAAAGCATACTTTTAGAATTTGATTAATAGGGAATATAATATGGTATCGCGCATCTAAAGACATTAATAACGATATAATTATATTAATGTACTGTAGCTCAAATAGTAGTATGATGCACTTTCTCTGCATATGTGTGCTTCAGTTTCACTCCTTTCCACATGATTACGTCTGTGGCGTGATGGCTTAAGCATGTGCCTTATATGTCTTGGGTCGGAGGATCGAACCTAGCTGTTGCCATGAGTTTTCTTTTAACAAATAAACATTTCTTTGAAAAACTAAAATAGCAAATATACTGTCCATAATATTGACATTTTTTATATTTCAAAATATCACATATGTTCGAAGCTAAGTCATTTATTAATAGCAAATAATTTAAAACTGTTACAGATATTATTACTGACAATATTATCAACACTGTATTGAATTTGTTGATGGTTCTAAATATCACGAAATGCATTTTAAACACCTTGACTTGTGAAATTTTTCACAGCCTTTGCATAAAACTATAAGAGAGATAATTCTCTTTCTGTAAACCTCAGGTTTTTCATCGATGCTTAGTTACACACTAACTGGAATACTGGGGGACCGCTGTGTACACATGTTCATAACACGAGACATACTGCTCAATACTGCTTCAAGCGATAGGAACCATAGGAAGCAGAACAGCGCAGTCTCCAATTACCCAGAGTGTAAGCACTGGAATAAATCTGTTTGATATTTGAAACACTTTATTTCCTGTTTTCATTCAGCAGGAAAATTCATATTTTTTACTCAATAGCTTTTTAAAAACAGCACCCATGATGTCCATGATTTTTTTTTACGTAGAAGACTGACACGGCTATATTCGGCTAGTGTGTATTGCCTGTTCAGGGTTCTGTAGCATTCCAGTTTGTTGTGTTTGTACTTGCAAGAATAGCGATTACAAACATTAAAAAAACGTAATCATACTTTTATAAAATATACCGACTTTTTCATGTTTAATGTGTAAGATGCTGTAATACAGTTTAAAATGATTAAAAGTCTAAACAGTATAAAACTTGAATTCTTATTTCTTAATATAACTATCAAGTGGTATTAAATGCAACTTTTTAGTATAGATGACACTTTTCTAAAATTAAAAATAAAAACGATTACAATCTAATCTTTCAACGTGTGATCCCATGAAGAAGTACAATACGCTCATGCTTTGTTTAATGATGGTATGAAAAATAAATCTAAATGATGAGAAAGCTATGCTTAAAGTTAATTGAGGGACTTAGAAAACAAAGATAATGATTTACATTGCATTGTCAGAATGTGAATCAATAAAGGCATTTAATTAAATGCGTTTGCGATATAAGTCAAAATTGGGGTAATGGGGACTCTATTATCAAAACTCGTTCAAATGTGGTTCTTTTGGAAACCTTTTGAAATGTTCCTTGTAACTACACTGCTGTCGCTATTGTAGCAATAGACAAAATGAAACGCTTGGAGTTTGTAATGTAGGGTTTCTATATTTTTCTTTATCTAGTGGTTTCATTAGTGACAAAGGCTAGACCAGCTTGCCTGCTCTGTCCTGAAGCTAGCTGGTGTCTGGGCCACACACACCTCAGGACGTTGACGTCACTGCCTTTCATATGAATCCTTTCAAATGGAAATATTTTGACACTGCGCTCAACAATTTAAGGAAGAACATGAAACACCTGGGATTCAATCAATTAAAAATATTTTTTTTGTAAAAACTGCACCAGGTACTAGATCTCGTTTATAGGTCTGAAGTAGAATTAACAGCTTCAGATTTAAAAGGTTATTAATAATGTCTTCAGTGTCGCATTAACATTGGAATGTTCTTCCAAGTGTAAAAAGACGCGATACATGTGTCTCCTCTATAAAGTTTCAGTTTACAGACCATCCAAGATTATTTTTTTATGAAGAATATCTTCCATATCGCATGAGGTCCCTGCTATTCACACGGAAAGCTGGTGACGTCACTGTACTGGCAAGCCGGCTCGCATGACCTGTAATGTCGGCCGTATGCGTTACAATATATTTAGATCTTTAAATTAATATTGTTATTAATTTCTTTAGCCTCACAACATTGTCCAATAATGCTCTTCTTGTATCTTATTTTTAGTTAAGCAGGATTTGAGCTACAGACCATGAAAAAACAGCGTTCACTTTTTTCTGTCTTTCTCACCTGCTGTGATTCTGGTGTTAATAAAACACATTTACAAAGAAAGTGGAATACAGTAATACCAGCTATTTAAGTACATATACAGCATTTAGTTTCTGCATTGAAAAAAGTGGGTGGATAAAACAGTTCTTTGTTTTCAGGAGTAAATTTTGTCTGGCTTTTTGTCCATTTTTATCATAACAGTTAAACCCACCATATGTTCTTCATTCCCATATCTAAATTTTTATTTTCTTAAGAACTATTAATATGTCCTAATATTACAGATGCCTGAGACAAAACATCTCTTCATTTTGATCTGTCAGCTATACAGTTCATATTGGCATTTATACTTGTGCCCAAATAATATGAAAGTCAGTATCAACAGCGAGGAGGTTAAAGTCTGTTTTGACTTGCCCTAGTGCAGTTTGAGTTCTGTGGTAACATTTGAGCGTGGGTCATGTCACTGGCTGACTTTGACTGGGATATTCCTAGGTTCACACAGTAGAGTAGGAGCCAGTTGGTCAGAGGTCTTTGAGTGAGATAGTGGCGCCCCTTTGGATGCTTGCAGGCATTCTGAATCAGTACTGAACATCCATCAAGGGACTGTGGCACCTGTAAAGCATTAAAAGATGAATGACTTGAAGACAGGCAGTTCAGAACATCTGGATTACACTTTTTTATTTCTGCCTGTGTGCTCTTGTGGGATCATAGTTGAGACCTGGGACATGGATAAAAAATGTTTTGCCAATGATAAATTTGTTGAACCAGTTTTAATGCATTTCCTTTTCAGGATGAAGTTTGATTATAATATCTTTGGTATTCCATCTCCTTCATGGTTCAGGTGGCGTTACTCTGCTGCGTGCTGCAGCGAAGAACCATGTCCGTGTGACCATTGTGTGTGATCCCAGCGATTACAACATGGTTGTAAAGGAGATGATTAGTTCTGAAACCAAGGACACAAGTCTGGAGACTCGGAAAATGTTGGCTTTGAAGGTAATTATGGAATTATAGATTTGATCTGAAATGTAAACTAAGAGACTGGTATCCACAGGAAACAGAACTGGAAAGGCCTGGCCTCCATCTAAGTATTCATTATCCTATAATGTTGCTGAAACAATGTTTGCAGTTGTAACTTTTATATCAGCTGCACATTTTACATGCTTCATAGCTATAGCACTGTTTACAATGGAGAGGAGGACATTTGGCCCTTCTGGCTCACCTGATTGCTAGTAAGTATTCTCATTTTCTTCAGCTTTTTTTAAAAGAAAATTGGTAACGAATTTGACATTGTGGCTTGGTAGGTTTTTCCACACTCCCAGAACCTGTTATGTGAAACGTTCCCATTTTAATGCGACGTGGTAAAACGTGGTTTTAATTTTAAAACCACAACCCTGGGGATCCACTAAAATAAGTCCATCGGATTACTTTTGTAGGTACCTATAAGGATTTTGAATGCTTGAATCAGGTCTCCTTGTCGCCTTCTCCGTCCTAATCCTGAAGCTTAGGACATTCCTTTTCAGCCCTAGAATATACCTCGATGTTCTTTTTTTAAATGGATTCCAGAGCAGCAGCATTTTTGTATTGAGGTGGCAAAGTACAAGGTATTTTAAATGAAGTCTTATGCATTTCACAATCTTAATATAACTTTTCTTAATATTCACTTAAACATCCTAACATTTTATTTGCATATTTATTACTTCCCTACATAACTCTTTCTATTGCTCTTGAAGTAGATAAGTCAAGCTCAGGCTTTTCCAATTTTATTTATTAACCTTTTAAAGATATAACACTTTAAATTTCTTGTTCAGCTTCTTCACAGTTTGCTAATTCTGCTAAATTGGTATCTAATTCGAACTTGAGTAGGTTCTAGAGGACAGCAGTTCAGCAAATTGGTGTGGTGCACTATAACTATTCTATGCAGATTACACAGCAGTCCGGACTAATTCAATATAAACCCTGATTTAAAAATGGCCACAAACATAAAGAACTTTTGGAACCTTATGATTAGAAACATAATCAAAGTCTCCTGTTTCCAAAAACGAGTCTAGTTTCTTTTTAGAAAAAATAGAGATCAAATGTCAGTAATTGAAAAAATTAAATTTAAAAATGTTGAAAATATGATCCGGATGTTAAAATAGTGTAACCACTTTGCAAAAAAAGAGGCTGTTTTTAAAGATGCAGCAACTCATAATGTGTGCTATTTCTTCCAAATGTGGTAAAAGTAGCACATTGTGTTGTAGTATGTAATTCACTTGCTGTCTATTGCGATAAACGTGTACTTTTTAGAATCTGCTTAATAGGGAAAATTAAAATGGAGTTGTGTAACTAAATAAATTAATAATGATATTAACTTAAGGATCTTAATATATTTATATAGCTGGTAGTAGTACCATATTCTACTTTCTTCGTAAATATATGCATCAATTTCTTTGACTCATTCACTTGTGATTATTTTGGAAAGATTTTGGCATGTTCGTTCCGGCTACTGTTTGTTACTGAGCTGTGCTTTGGTAAAGTGGGCTAAGTGCTTCCCTATTTCCCAGAAGGTTCTGTGTTCAGTTACTGCTCAGGGTAAAAGTTTTATCTTTAACAAGTAGACTCCTAAAAATAAAATTGTAAGTAACGTGCACTCTATTGACATTTTTTATTTTTATACATCACAATGTGTTAAATGTTAAAATGATATTGATAAACATTAGTTAACAAAGTTTAATACGGTCACCGGTGGCAGTAAAAACCATTTCAACCGGTTTAATTCTATTCAGAATACTTTATCCCAGGTGGGCAATTTAAGACAAGCCTTAAAATTAATTCCTATATATTATAATTATACTCCAGAATAATAAATTGGTATTAAAAAGACCACTGAAACCAAAGTTCAATGTCTCTGATCATTAATAACAATATTAATTTATTTATAATTAATGATTCCAAATTGTTTGCATTTTGTTCAGGGTGATTTGTCACTGTTTTCACAACCTTGTTTTCTTATTGAAATAGTTGAAGTAGGTAGCTGCGTCAGCATGCGTAGACTGCAAAGGAACAGGTAACAGGTTTATTCCATGCTGAAAAGAAAGGAAATACAACGTGTGGAGCCTTCAGGTGAAGAAGGCATGGAATAAACCTGTTACCTGTTCTTTCTTATTAAAATGCCTATTTTTGAGAGACAGTGTTTCAGATGTCAATAACTTTTTGAACAAATAAACAGAGCCTTTAAACCACAGGCATTTTAAAGATCATGATTTGTGACATTTTTCACAACTTCTGTTTAAACGATATCCAGTACCTGGTTGCATTTTTAGGAACTTTAGTTTGAATAAAGTGGATCTCAGGTGTAAACGAGTTTATAATGTGAGAATTACTATTCAAAAGCTAATCTATGTATGCAAAACAGCTTTTTCCAATTATGAATTTAAGCTGTATACTCTTTAGACTTTTATTAATTTTAAATTGTGTATTACAGCATGTTAATCATTAAACATTAAAAAGTCAGTATATTTTATAAAAGCAAGATAGCTCAGTTGGACAAAAGTTCACAACCTTTCACCTTCATCATAAATATTTTATGCATCAAAGTCTTTAACTTGGTAAGTTAAATGGGTTCTGGTTTTAACGTGCTTGCTCTAACATTATTAAGCTTATATTCTGTACTTCATAGGTTATAATGCTTTATCCTTTTCTAAGAATACATAGTAAGAACACCACTTGCTGTTATTGTAAGAAGATAAATGTTGTAATGATTTAACATCACTTGATAGTTAAATTAATATTGAATCATGTAACTAAACAGCTAAAGTATCACAAGTGGACATTTCTGAAACATTTTGACATCCGTTTCTTTTTAAAAAGCTTTTATTGTCCTTGTAGTGGTAATGGACAAAGCACTGCACCCAGTGGTTCAAAGTGCAATCCGAGTATTACTTTGTTTCTTATATACAAATGCAGCCATTCAAAACGAGCGAGATACGCTGTGGTACAACGTGGTGGGCGTGTCACATCATTATGCTTTATATCATGTTATAGTGCATTATACCGCATGCAAATTAGATTGTTAATAGTATCCGGAATCACCTTGTAAAGCTCATAAAGCTTAACCTCTCATGTACAGCATTTGAGCTGTCACCAGAGAACACACGGTTTTGAATTCTGGTCAATACTGAAGGACAATCTTTATTCAGTTAAGAATTTAAGTTGTATACTCTTTAAACTTTTAATTTTAAGCTGTGTATTACAGCATGTTAACCATTAAACATTTAAAAGTTGGTATTTTATAAAAGCAAGGTTCCTCGGTTGGACATAAATATTTTAATTATGCAGAAATATTTTATGCATCAAAGTCTTTACCGAAGATATTACTAATAGTATTAATAATGAATGACCTTGGACAAGCTGTAAGCTCAAAGTATTACCCTGGTCCACTTTCTTTGTTACCGTCTTTGTAAGCGAAAAGACTTTATTTTTTCTTTGACAAAAAGTAACACCACAGCATTTCATTGATCCGATCATGTATTTGTTTCCAGTCATACAAAGTAAGTTTAGTAAATCTCCGATTTACCATGCCTTTCACATGCTCATAAATGATATAAATTTAGGAACATTAACATCTTACTGTATGTAAACTGTATTGTATATGGCTGGAGAAAGTATTCCAATTTCTCCCTAAACATTTTAAGCATCAAAGCCTTACATGTGGTTATTTTGGAAACGTTTTTACGTGCTCCTTCTGACCATATTAAGTTTATATACTTTGTGAAAAGTGATAGTGTTTGAACTTTTTCTGTGAATTCGCTTGTTATCAGCATAAACAAAAGCATACTTTTAGAATTTGATTAACAGGGAATATAATATGGAATCACATATCTAAAGAAATTAATAACGATATAATTATATTCATGTACTGCAGAATAAACTGTAGAGTTAGTTAATGCAACACGGAAGATAGTATTAATAATGTAGCGCTTTCAGGCACCAGCTGGGGAATTGAACCCAGGCCTCCAGCATCACTGAACAGGGAAGCAGCCAGTCGAGCTACAGTGTGCTCTGCCTTCAACCCTGACGGGTCCCTCCTATTCATATGAAACATAGTGATGTCACCTCCCTGGCAAGCCCTCATCAAACTTTAACTCGTTCAGAGTGCCCTACATTACAAACTCTAAGTGTTTCATTATGAGGTGAAGACACTCACACCCGAAGAAGGCTTAACAGCCGAAACGTTCATTTCTTTTCAGCATGGAATAAACCTATTACTTGTTCCTTTGCAGACTACGCAAGATGACGCAGCTACCCACCAAAAGTAGTTACAGTACAGATGCAGCCATTCAAAATGCGCGGGTGATACCGCATTATTTTCCGGTACGCTGTACGCAGTCTACCGCGAGTTACCGTAAATACCGCGAGTTACCGGTAAATACCGCTAGCAAAATAATAGTATCCGGAATTTCCGCAAGGTGGAGCTAATAAAGCTCAACCTCTCATGTTTGAGCTGTCGCAATCAAAGTCTTTAACG